AGTGCCCCAGGTTTCTTTACTGGCAGCTGCACCTTGGATGTGGGTTATTGCCCTCTATTCAAAGACAGGGCAGTAACCTCTGTGTGTCAGTAATGAGACAAAATACAACTTCACATGGCTCTGGAAAGGATCAGAACTTTCGACCTATCCTGACTTAGATTCTTGAGGGAATTGCTGAATGTATGCTCTTTCTGTCTGCTCTCCCAGTCTCCCACTATGCTTTGTAAGCAGAAGGGGTGCAATGCTCTGCTGCTTGGATTGTGAAAGCCACAACTTTCTGGGTAACCACTGAACATTTTTCTTGTCAGCCCTGGGTCTTGCTCAGATGCCAGGCAGGTAGTGGACAAGGAAAGGAAAATAGTTTCTGCAGGAAAATGTGTTGCTGCTCTGTAGGAAGGTTTCAAATGTGAGCTAATAACAAAAGGACAGGTTCAACAAGCATCTCTGTACTTCAGGGGTCTTGCCCTCACTCTGAAAGACAAATCCAGCTGTCTGACTGAAATGCAGAAGAGGGTTCTGTCCCAGTGTGGGGAGTAAACTTTATTCCAACACTCTGCTGAAATCCCCTAGGGAGTCCACTTAGGGAAACCCCGCTGAGTATGTTTTGTTTCTCTGTATTGCAGCTGGAAGATCCCTGATTTTATTTATTTTATTTTATTTTTTTTTTTTTAGAGATACTAACTAGGGTGCTGCAGCTCTATTTGTAGCATTGTTAGTGATTTTTTTTTTTGATAGTTAACTGAAAATACAAATAGTTGATTTAAAACTTGGCTAAAGCATGAAGATTCAGTTTTTAGTCTGAAGACTATGCGCAGCAGAGTTGACATCCACTTTCCTTGTCCTGGCTATGACTTTGCTGTACAACCAAACAGCCTTGCACTAAATGGTCCTCCTGCATGTGTTCTTTCAGCCTGGCCCAGATCTAAGCAATTACTTTCTAGATAAGAAGATTTCAGTGGTGGTGTAAAAATAATAGGTGTGCTTCCAGTTCTCGTTGTTTTGAATGAATGAATTTGGATGTTAGTGGAGCCTCTCTGTTTGCTGTGGGGGATTTCTAAGTTCACAGTTCTCTCGCTTGCAGTTTCTCACTCTTGCTTCTCCCCTTCCTCTGCCAGTTTCTTGTGGAGCTTGGAAACTCCATGCAGTAAGGGGAGTTTCGCATTTGCCATTAGTAAGCAATTTAAACCTGGCATGAAGGGTTAGCTATTTGTGGCTTGGGATATCCCCATGCTACTGTGCCTGTGAATAAACTCTTGTTGCTTGATATATATATTATTTTTTTTTTTTCCAGCTCCTGTGTTCCATTTATGTTTTCACTGGTGGTGGTGGTGGGAATGGGAGCATCCATATGGTAGGGCAGCACAAACCCTGAGTAGTAACTTTGCTGTCTGTTTCTCCTTCTCATTATAACCTCCTTAACCAGCACCTGAGTCAGGCAGGTGATGCTTCTTGTTGCTGTGGGGTCCCACATAGGTTTGGTCTAATCCTGTGCTATGCCAGAGGCAGGAAAAAAGTTCAGGAATCTGTCCCATAGCAAAGCAGGGCATTTCTGGGGTAGCAAGCTGTGCTATTAGTTTAGCTTTTCTGCCATTTGCATCCTCAACAAAAGTTTTGGCAAATTCCGGTTAAAGTGGTTGGCCCAGTATGTATGAAAGCTGGCAGTGATGTAGCTGCCTCTTTAGGTCCTGCACTCTAGGTTTTGGAATTGGTGGGATATTTGGTTTTATGTTTCTCATAACCGTGCTTGTGGTAACCTGTAGTAGTCTTACGGCATTAGTTGTTTGCTCCTGTTGCTGCAGGCACCTTTCTATCTTGTATTTATTATAATTCAGAGCTGTTTCCTAAATGCTGCTGCTTGACCAGTGTTCAAAATCCAAATTTATTTTCTTTTCTTGTCAGCTTGTTTTTTTTGGTTTGAGTAACCAGCTGGTGGTCTCATTCAAAGAAGAAAACACTGTTGCTTTTAAACACCTATTCCTGAAAGGCTATTCTGGAGTTGATGAAGATGACTACAGCTGCAGTATATATACACAACAGGATGCTTATGATAGCATTTTTTATGTTATTAACCAGGTAAGTGTGTGTGTTTGTAATGTGTTTACAAAGCCAAAGCCATAGCTATAAACTTCTGCTAAGGTTCTGGTTTTCTGTCTCCATTCTTGGATTTCAGTTTTGGTGTTTAAGTGGATCAGTGGGGAGTCCTGAAGTTCATGTGTAGCATCTGCATTTTCATCTCTTGGAAATGAAGCTAAACCAAAATTTTACTGGAGTAGGACTGAAATCCAGAAAGTCTGAAAATCACTCATCTTGCATGAACTGGAAGCTTTCTTTAGGTCTTACTTTGAAGAGCTATGGGGCTGAACATACCTATGCATGGTATTCAAAAAATTCATGCTTACAGCTATACTGAATTGCAGCTTTGTAGTAAGTGCCAGAGGCCTCAAAATGGGGAATATGGTACTTCCAGCAATGTAGGGGCACTCGCCCTGCTTAGGGGTGGTATTTTAAAGAACAGTCCCTTTACAATCATGTGAGGGAAGGGGGGGGTGAAAAACCTAGGATGAAAATCCAGTAGAAACTTTCATATTTAATTGAACATTAATATGTTCAGAAGCAACAAGCTGAAAGGGGGTGTGCGTGTGTAAAATGAAACTTCTTTTTTGTTTGAGTATGATAAGCCCAGAAACAATTCACCCTGGATAAATGGAAGATGGCTTTAAACCACCTTTCACTTTCCCTAACCTCAGGATATCAGCTCTGACACTTGGTTTAGAGAAGTTTTGCTGCTCTAGTTATGCCCAGCAGGCATCCTGGAGCCACAGTGGTTTGAAGGCTATACCTCCTTCTTAAATGTGGCACTCACATAGGGGCTTGCTGCTGTAGCTTAGAGCAGATGGTGGTGGAGCAGCAAGCCCTGGATGAGGCCAGGACTCTTACTTCTGGTACATTGAATTAGTATTGAAATAGTTTTCTCAGTCTTCCTTTAAACTCTCAGTATTGCCACTATTTCTGCTATAAACTGTGCTTGTTTTTCTTCCTTGCTTGCTTTGTCTCACTTTCCTTCTTTTGTAGGCACTAAGGCTGAGGTGAAGTGCAGATAGAAGACAATAGAGAAATAATAGCTTTATATCCTCAAGAATGAGCCGATGTGTGATACAGGCATCAGAAAAAGGTCTCTTCATAAAATGTCTATGTTGTATAAATGTAGACATATCCTTTAAGGAAATTAAATTTGTGTAATCTTGCTTTAGTGTTGTATGGAGTTCCTAAAGGTTTCTGTTACATGTAAGACTTCATAACATCTAAGTCCAGGTGAACATTGACTGGTGTTGCTTTTTGGGGGTTTGTTGTTTTGTTTTGTTTCTAAAGGATGCCTGCGAGGAAGAGCCAACCCTGGTGATTCCTAAGCTAAAAGCAAGGCTTTTTTTGAGATGGGCAGGTAGAAGCCATAGGTTTTGGTGTTCTAATTTGAACTGCATTGTTGATGGAGGGCTTGCAGGGATGGGGCAAGCAGAAGGATATGATATTACAGAACATGGTAATAGTGCACAGCAAAACTGGAGTTGTAAAAACTGAATTTTTGGCTTTGTGTAATATGCCACTGGGATGTTTTCACACTTTGGGGGGAGGGGGAAGCCCCAAGAAACTAACAGCAAAAAACCCAAACATACTTTTCAATTTTCAGGAGTGCACAGCTTTTCCTTACTCCTCTCCTGGGTCCAGTTTGGAAGCTTCTATTATAAAGAAGCTGTGTGGAGTTGTTATACTTGTACTTGCCCTCTGGCAGAGTCTGTGGGACCTGGATGTTCTGCTCGCTGCTGTGGCTGGGGCTGCTCAGAAATGTATAAATAGGAATTTTGCTCCTGCTGTTTCATAGTGTTTGAAAGTGGCATGTGAGTAACCCAGAGCCACATGTTCCACTGTCAGGAGGGCAGAGGCTGAGAACAAACATGGACAGCAGTTAGGTGCAGTGATCTGGAGATGTCCTCAGAGGGATGTGGGGCTGTGACTAACTACTGTTTCCACTCACTTGACCTGCCTTAGTCAGGCTTGGCTTCCTTAATTTACTCTGAGTTAAGATAATGTTCTGACAGGGTATGGAGACTGTGCTTTTCTCCCAGGCTGTCTAAACTTGTTGCAAGCTCAGCTGTGAGGACTTGAAGCAGCACTGAGGCAACCCTTTGGATGGAAGGGTGAGAGTTCCTTTTGGATGTGGAGTGTGGTGGTTAATGACTACTGGGATTTCTTTTTTTTTTTTTTTTTTTTTTTTTCACCCCACAAGGTGGGCTAGTGGCCATAATGCCCATAGGAAGGGGGAAATAGGATGATACTGAATCATTTATGATAACAAAATCCATGTTTAAGGGGGATAAAAACCAGCTGAACAGTTTTTGGTGGTGGTTTTTGTTTGTTTTTGTTTTAAGGAATGGGAAGCCTTGTCTGACTTCCCATGTTTATTTACTTCAGGCCTTCTGGGAAGCTAAATGCTTCCTTCGGGGCACACCAGTGCTGTATGTTGCTCCAAGCTCTTTTGATAGGTGAGGTAATGGTAAAAACCCTAATAAATTACTAGATGTTTATGTCTTATTTCTCAAAGGGCCATTGGGTCTATTTGGCTTCTCTTGAACAACATTAACTGGTGCTAAGCTGAGCTGGCAGGCAGCTGCCTTGCCTTCATGGTTGGTCATTGATCTCTTCAGCTGTTGAAGAGCCAAGAACTGTGGGGAGAGCTGTGCCCCAGGGCTTTGCCTCACTTGTGCAGGGCTGGAAGGTGTGACCCCAGGGATCAGAGGATGTATCTTCCTTCCAACAGACACTGAGGATCTGGAAGGCAAGTTATGAGAGGACTGGCCTTGAATGGAGTTCTTTAGTGGTGCTCAGGGCTGATCCATGTGTGGCTAATGCTTGGCTTGGCATAACTTTATTCACTTCCACTTCTAGTCCTTGTTTTTAAGTGTATCTTGCATATGAAAAAGGTGACTTGTGCTGTATTTAGAGTAAGTGGAAAAAGAAAGTACATTCCTCATAGGCATGTTTTTGTGTCATGGTTTAACCCCAGCTGGCAACTAAGTACCACACAGATGGTAGCTCACTCCCCCTTCCCTGGTGGTATGGAAAGAACTGGGAAAAGGTAAAACCTGTGAGTTAAGAGCAGTTTAATAATTATATTCAAATGTAATAATGAAAAGGGAGATAGCAAAAAGAGAGGAATAAAAGCCAGGAAACACAACTGGTGCACAATGCAATTGCTTACTGCTGCCCAATACCCAACCCAACCCAAGCAGTAATTGGCCCATTCCAGGTAACTCCCCCTAGTTTATATACTGGGCATAACGTGCTGTGGTATGGAATACCCCTTTGGCCGGTTTGGGTCAGGTGGCCTGTCTGTGCTTCCTCCTGGCTTTTTGTGCCCCTTCTCGCTGGCAGATCATGAGACTGAAAAGTCCTTAATCCGGGTAAGTGCTACTGAGCAACAACTAAAGCATTGGTGTGTTATCAGCATTGTTTTCAGGCTAAAACCAAAACACAGCCCTGCACCAGCTACTGGGGAAAAAAGTTAATTCTGTTCCAGCTGAAACCTGGACACTTCTGTGCTTGTGTAAAGCAGGCAGGTTAAATTACTTTTGGAGGCTGCCCAAGCTCTGTGTGTGTTCCTTGGTTGCTGGTTATGTGGTGAACATGTGGCTTCCCTCCTCTATCACTGCACAGGGAGCAGGTTTGGCTTTGCTCTGGGGGTGGATTTGATAAGAACTGTGACTTGAATTGTATATAAAGCAATTGAATTTCAAGTGGTGTGAAAACTTAACACCTTCATGAGATGAATATGTAAGATATCCCTAGAGTGTGTGTGGTTAGTAGCAATACTGCATTGAAGCCACTGCCAGGCATCTAATTAAAAGCTGTGTGCTGGCTTGTTGCCTGGCATGTGGGTAACCATTTGCAGGCAGCCCAGTAGGTACAGGGCTCCCAGTCACTGTGTCACCAGGATGCCAATCAGCACTAATTAATGGCCAGCAGCCCTCTTAGCTTCCTGTGTAAGATCCACTCTCAATTTACAGATTTTATGTGAAAGTAAAGCTTTATTTTTTTTTATGTAAAAAGCTGTATTAATACATAGAACTTTCAGATTACAAGTTACTATTTAATGTTAAAAAGATTACTATCTCTAACTTAAGGTTTCTGTTTTGTTTTTAAACCAGTACAGGCAATTAAAGAATGTATCCCTGGGGACCCTTGGTTATGAACATGAAGGATCAGGTTTAAAAATCTGTAAACAACAGTACAAGAAAGGCACAATGCTCCCTTCCAATGATTCACTGGACATAGATGTTTCTACTGAAACAGGTATAGTACTGGTGTGCTAAAAAATGGGTTGCTGTGGAGTACTTAATGCTACGTTGGTGAAGTTTAAAACCAGTATGTTTTTGCATGGCAATCACATGAACATTACCATGCCTCTTCCCCTTTTTTCTCTTGGTTTTTAGTACCTGCCTAGAAGTGACAGCTGTGTAGACTATAGGAAGCTCTTTTCAACTGCTGTCATTAGTGGGCTGTGGAGGTCTCTGTAGTTGTTTCCCCCTCTCCAAGCAGAAGGTTCAAATACAGAATTCTGGATGCTGGTCAGTCTGAACATTCAGTGGGTGGGTGTCCTTCATGCCTCTTGGAGCTGAGTCCTGGCTGCAAACTGATCATGAATTAGTACATGAGCCTGCTTGTGATCCCACTAGCTGGGCCTCTATGGATAGTTTGGCCCTAAACTAACATTTTGCATGATTAGGACTTACCATTCAGTCTGATTATCTCAGTTTTATTCTGTTTTCTATGTAAAGCTTTTAAGATTGCATCTTTTCCTCTTCACTTTCCAGAATGTATCTTTTTAAAGCCAGAGTTGCTAGCTGGTAAGAAGGCTGAACTGAAGCTGAACTCCTCTTTCTTTAATCTTGAATTTTACAGGTAAAGTGGTGATGGTGGTTTTCTCTTTTTTTTATATTTCAGCTTGTCCTTTTACATGAATATGGCAGATTCTGATTTGTGCAATTGCATATATGTATTTGTTTTGTATGTAATTATATTAATACACTTTTAAACATCCAGGCTTATAGAGGTTGAAATCTCCTTCAAGCTGAAAGGCATTGCCCTACAGACCATCCATGCTCGTGAATTGCCTGACTGCTATGCATTTCAAAATACTGTAAGTGAATATGAGGCATTGCACCAACACTGTATATACAAGAGCTTAAGCTAAGGGGTAGGCATCATCTTCCTACGTAGACTGCAAGGGAGAAGCAGTTGAGCATGTCTTGGCCCTCAGCCCTCCTTCCCAAAGGCTGCTGAAATAGTGTTTCCATGGGACAGTATTGTTTTGTAACATATTCCAGCTGGTAACTTCATAACCTGGGAAGCACATAAGTAATTGTTGTTCTTTTAAAGGTTAAACTTTGGCTTCTGAAAATACTACTTTTTATGCAGTACATGACATATTCTCAAATTGTCTACACACCATTTATGCTGACAGCTTTCTGAAAGCTTACCTGACCAACTATGTCAAAGCACTTAGGATTTGTTTTCTGGAAGGAAATTTTACTAGTCTCATTTCTGGTACACTTCTGTGTTTCCAGATAACTTTCAATAACAGAGCCCACAGTGGAAAAATCAAAATCTATTTTGACAGTGACACTGATATTCAAGAATGCAAAGACTGGCACATAGTTAGCTCTGGTAAGTATGGTGCTTGTGTGTTTGCATGATAGCAGTGTTATGCATCTTCTCTCACTTCGCCTGCTCTGTAACGGTCTGTCCAGCAAGATACTCCCCATCCTGTTCATCCCCCTCCAGCCCTTAAAACAGGACAACACAGCTTGCCTTATGCAACTCATTATCTCTTTCTAATTAAGAGCTGGGAAATAATTCCTTTTTGTGAGAGTATTGAAGTGAGATGACAGGGGTATCTCTTATAACAGTGTGTGTCAGCAGCAAGCTCTAACTGGAAGGAAGATCAGTATTTCTTCTCTAGATTTTAATTGTTCTGCTACTCTGAGGTTATTCAGATAATTTAATGCACTAACTCAATTCCCAACTCAAACCTTCTACAGTTTTCCTTTTTTCCCCCCCTCTAATTGAGGTGTTCTATTTCTGAAAGTAGGGATTTTATTTTTGTGCCACTGCTGTTAGGTTTAATGATGTGCATGAGCATAGGGTGGCATCTGCCTTGTATTTGTAATGTTAAGGCTTGGTCTGACAGCTAAGAAATGTGTGCTGAAGGCCTGTTCAGCAGAATAGCTGTGACCGAGCACTGTGCCTTCCCCAGTGTGTTGTCTTGCTGTAAAGGACTGCAGTGCAGTAGTAGTTTTCAGTGTGCTATATAGGATCTTGATTAACAAATATGTCAGAGGGTCTGCCTTTTGCCTGGACAAAGCTAGCTTTTCTCTGATAATACCATGTTGTACTGATATTAAAGTGATATCTTATGGTACTTTCTCCATAACCACAGAGTGCTTTGCCTTGCATCTGTGTACAGTAACTTCTTATGGGTGTCTTTCAACTAGTTATTCTTCAGTTTATTTTGTATGAAATCAGCTGAGGGAGCATACAGAATTCTGTAATAAAGGTAAGCTGAAATGCTACTGCAGCAAGTTTCCCTATATTTTGTATTGTTAAAATCTGTTATGAAGAAGGTAGGGACAATTGATATGAGTAAGCAAAGGAAAACACCTGACTTGCGTTCGCATGATGGCTTCTAAACCTGTGGATGAGAAGAATACTGTACAGAAAATCAAACAAGTCTCCAGTTGCAGGTCAAGGAATGAGAAAAAAGGCAGGATTTTTTTTTTTATTTTAATTTACTAGTGTTGATACATCCCAAAGTCTGCATTTCTTTTACCCTGTGTAGTTGTAATGCTGTTGGAGCACAGATGGACAGGTAAACTTCATGGAAAAAGGGGACACTTGCAGTGATATACCCATTTACTGGTTTTATTTTAAAGAACTTGAACATACTTTTCATTTTTATGGGTCAGTTTGTGTAGTGGTTTTCATGTAATTCTCTGATCAGTTGTGCTTATATGCTTGCAGGAAGAATATTTCTTATAACCTATCTATTTATGGGGCAAAATAATATTTATGCAAAATATGGGACATCCCATAACAATTTCTTCTCAGACATGTGAAGAGACTAACTGTACTTCCTTTCCTTGGCTATACAGTTCTCCAGAAGAACACTCAGTATATTCTAGTCTTCGATGGATTTGTCATTTTAAGTTGCTTTGCTTCTCTCATCCTCTGCACACGATCCATTATTCTTGCCATGAAACTACAAAAGGTAAGTTCAGTGTTCATAATCTCCATGCTTCCTTTGTCTTATTTGCTGCTAGTCTTGTGAAGGAATGCATTTTGAAATAGTAGTGAATCTGTTGCAGGATGTTGCTCTCTTACTAGAGATCTCTATCTCTAGAAAGGTTGTATGGATGTCTGTGTTGAACAGCTGCTAGCTGTTTGTAGTGATGTAATGTGAAGTATTTTGTTGTACCTCTCAAGAGACTTGCAGGTTTGGGTTTTTTTTTTATGTGGGTTTTCTGTGGTTTTGTCTTTTTTGTTGTTGTTGTCCAGGATTTTATACAAGACTTCTGAGTCTTTGTGCTGCTAACAACCAACACATCCTGCACCTTCAAAACAGAAATTCTTCCTTCCCCGGCTTCAGAGCAGGATTCCCATAGAGGTCTTGTCATAAATTAATGCTTTAATGAATATCCCTCAAAGCCAGCTCTAACTGGAGAAAAGATATGGCACATAATCTAACTCTGGATGGGGTTTCTTGTTTATCTGTGGCTGGAACCACCCTTTTTCAGTTCTTCTCCCTCCATGACCCCTGATGTGCCTGCTGGCACCTTCTTCCCCGCTCACCCTCCTTTGCAGACTGGGACTAGCCCTGTCCAACTTCATCGCAAGCTGCTTGCAGAGCTGTGTGTCAGCAGACTCTGCTCTTCTGGTCCAAATGCTAATGCAAAAACACAAGCTGGTCCCTGAGGTGTGCCAGCTTATAACTGCTACTTGATACAAACTGTGCAAGCATGTGGCCTGTGAGAGTTGGAAGAAGAGTTCAGGATAGGTAGGATATGAAAGCACAAATACCTGTTTATCTTGTTCAGTATATTCTCTTTGTAGCCTTTAAATGAGACAAGAATGAAGAGATTGCAGTTCAGTAGAGGCACTGTCAAACTGGTGTCAGGAATAGGGCCATCAGCATTTATTCTTGAGCAAAAAGAGCAAGTGAAAGCAGAGAGGCAGTGTTGGGTGTGAAAAGTGATGTTGTTGGCTGTATTGGACATGAGAGCTCTTGCCTTGTAGTTCTCTTTGAGTTATTCTCTTTTCCACTCCTTTTAGTTGGGTGGTTTTGCTCTGTTGGAGGTTGATAGAAACTTCTGTGAAGGGTGCTGAAAAGGGGATAACAAGCCATGGTTGGGCTAGTGGGGATTTGTTATAAAGTCAGCTGTTTTGTGGGAAGTTGGTTGTCACCAACTAAACCAATCTTAATTTTTCCTCCATTTAATTGTTTTGCTATTGAAAATTAAAGCTATTATTCCAGCAAACACTAGAAAAAGAGGGTATCTGGAATTTGAGCACTGCTACAATATTGGGCATCTGTACATATTTTTCATCTAAGATGACCTGTAACTAACACCTATATGCTTGTCAATAGAGATTTGTGAACTTCTTCTTGGAGAAATATAAGCGTCATGTCTGTCATGCTGATCGCCTGGAGTTCATAAATGGATGGTATGTCCTGGTAATTATCAGTGATGTGATGACAATCATCGGGTCAATCCTAAAAATGGAAATAAAAGCCAAGGTGAGAGTTTAATATTTTGGATAAAATATTAGGCTGGTTACAAACATGTAATGTTGGGAACAGTTTGGGGACAAGTGAAAGTGAGCTATCACAGTCACTAGTCATCTTGTTTATTTTTGCTAATTGTTATTTCTTAGTGCTAGTTGGACTAATAAACTGATGGTCAGTCACTCTTTCCAGAATCTTTCAGTAAGACCATGTAAGCTATTTAAACATCCTATTTCCACAGTGCTCACCATGGTATAGGGTGTTTGGGTGAACAGTTCCTAATCAACCAACTAAAAAAACTAAATCAACTTGAGTTGTTGTTTCTGAAAGAAGTAGCAGTACATACTGCACAGGGAAACCAATAGTCATTCCCTGGGATAAAACAGAGGTCTAACAGCTTGTTAGAAGCATAACTGTTACAGCTTGCTTTTCTGCCCTGTCCAAACTACAGGCACAGACAGTGTCACTTGCTAGTCCTTGACCTCCCCCTCTGGGCTTGCTGAAATCAGTATGTTCCATCCAGCTGGCAGCTCTTATGGGGGATTTTGGTTTGGGACTTTTGGTTGCTTGCTTATTTGCCCTCAGTGGAGCTGTATGTCAATAATTCATGTGTTAACAAAACTTTGTATTCTGGGAAAAAACAGTGTAGGTAGTATGCTGCTGCTGCTTCATGTGTATAAGGCTCAAAGGGCAGATGCCCAGACTGTCCCTTAGAGGAAGCACTTGAGAACCTCCAGCTGTATAGCAAGGTGGGGGATGAGGGTAGGAATCCTTGAGCCAGATGAGGTATTCAGTCTAATTTTATGGATGTTATAACCAAAGCAAGGGCTGTAGTTCTTCCAGACTTCACACAAACTTGGAAGAGTATGAGCATAGGTGTGCTTTCATTTGCAGCACTGTTACGATTGAGTCGTCTCAGTAAATAACTGCAGTTCACTTTGGTCTGATTTTTGTGATGTAGCAACATCCTTTCAATATTGGACTGCCCTGCTTTGTTTGAACTGCTGGAACTCAAATAGCTGTCAAGCTGACATACCTACTGCTTTGTAACTTGACCACCTGCTCTGTTTGGATCCCTCAGAACCTCACAAGTTACGATGTCTGCAGCATTTTACTTGGAACATCAACTTTGTTTGTCTGGGTTGGAGTCATCAGATACCTGGGATACTTTCAAACCTACAATGTAAGGCAGAAATCAAATGTTTAACAACCAAAGCGTGTATTTATATTTGTCACTCTTACTCAGGTCTGTAACTTGTGGATTTTTTTTTCTCCTTTTCTCCTTTCCTCCACCTTGACTTGTAGGTGCTCATTTTAACTATGCAGGCATCATTGCCCAAAGTGCTAAGGTTTTGTTGTTGTGCTGGGATGATTTATCTTGGTTATACTTTCTGTGGTTGGATTGTCCTGGGACCTTATCATGAAAAGGTATGTCAGCAGTGTTACTGCTTTTCTGGTCCAATGATGTGTCAATATTTGTGTATTTATAGATCCTAGTTGTAACAACAGAAATGGGTCTTAATGTTTTGTTTAAAAGCTGTAATGTGAAGGACATGGGAGTATTTCTCTTTACACGTACCTCCTCCCTTTTAACAAAAGAACTGTACTCCTGCTTTCACCGTGTGCTTGAACTCAGTGTGGTCTCCAATACAAGGCTGTGTTTGTGATGAACGGGTGGTTTATCCACGTAATGTCTGTCTGGAGGCTAGAGGTGCATAGGTCTCTATCTCTTTCGCCCTCTTCTGGCAATCCCAGTTCAGCTGGGTTGAAGAGGCACTGACTAGGTCACTGTTAAGATTTCTGGGAATCTCCTTGGCTCAGACTTTGTTTTTCCAGAGCTTTCCTGTGTCATGTAACTTCAGCTCCTACATCTTGACTTGTAAAAGGGGTGGATGAATGCTTGTCTTGTTTTATTTGCTTCCTCTGTGTGGGTGTGTTGTGTGTTTTTTTTGTTTGGTTGTTTTGGGTTTGTTGCTGTGCTGTGGTTTGTTTGCTGGTTTGTTTGTGAGGTTTTTTTATTCGTCTGTGTGCCTCGTATGTTGCCTTGTCTGAAAGGTACAGGAGTAAGGCTTTGTATATTCTAAAACACCAACAAAATAGCTGTAAAGCTTGTTTTGGTTTGGTTTTTTTTTGGGGGGGGGAGTGTTAGTTGTTTTGGGTTTTTTTTTTTGTGTGCTTTTATTTTTTGTGGGGTTTTTTTTTTGTTTTGGTTTGGTTTTTGGTTTTTTTTCCCCCTTGGTGGATGCAGTACATGATGGCTTGGAAAAAAGCAGATTCCTGTTGTGATGATAAATACAAAATGTCCATTAAGGGGTAACAAATATATAATCTCTCATTCTTGATCTCTGGTCATGCACAGTATATACTGTAATAGAGACACATGCTGCAGTGCTTGCCTCAGCGTCTTGTGCCCCCAGAGTTGGGATTCCTCTGATGCAGTGTAATTCTGTCCTCTGAGAAATGTAGGTATTCTACCTGCACATGTTTTGAGTTGATGACAGCACATTCTTCTGTGGGATGCTGGCTGCAGTGGGATCCTCCGTCATACTAGAGGCTCAATTGATTATAATGGGCACAGCATAAATACTGTTGTAGCATCCCTGCAGCAAGTACATTAATTATCTGAGCAAAAGGAAGTGTGATCAATAATATGCTTTTCTATTAAATGTTACCTCTTGCTAAATACCACAGATCGATGTCAAGCAAAGCAGCTGTAGTTGTGGGGTTCCCGTTTCTGTCAGTTCCCCGGGACCCCACTGGAAGGCAGTGTGGCTCCGCGCAGAGCCGGACAAGCCCTGGGCTGCTCCCATTATCCCGGATGAGAAATGGGAAGAGCCTTCCCTGCTGAGCAGGTGTGCAGGAGAGAGGCCGTTGTGCTCAAAAACGTGGGAATACCAATGTTGCTCTTCCTTCCTCTACTCAGCTGGAGAGAGGGAATAGGAATCCCGTGTTTTATGTCAGTCCAGGGGCTTGTAGGTGAGCAGTCTTTAGCAGGGCACTCACTTGTGCCAGTGTGTCAAAACCTGTGTGTTCCTCAGAAGTTACCTGTCCAGTGCCTCCCTTCTTACCAGACAATGTGCTGCTGGGCTTCATAATGGCTTCAAAATTTATTAATTACAAGCCATAGGTAAAAGCAGACCTGCTGTTCCTGTGCAACAGTGTGTTCTCCTTACAAGCATATGCCTCTTGACATCGTGTTTTCAATTTAGAACCCCAATATAAGTGGGTGTACTCATGTTTCTTCATTGTTAATAGCCACATTAAAACATTGTGCATTAATTCATATTGTCCAATAAAGTATAGTTAACAAAACCAGTCATTTGGGCAGAGTAAGAGACGGAAGTCTGCTTACCTGGTGGCAGAATGGAATTTAGCCTGAGGATATATTCCAGCTTGGCGAAGTGGAGTTAGGAATTTAAGATAATGTCCTTGAAATTAATCCACGATTTTGTCCAGGGTATGCTTCAGGAGCTTCACAGTACAGCTATAGCTTGTACCTACAGCTCAGAGAGAGCTTTCTGAATGACAGATTTAGTTTAGACCATTTGAACTCTAAACGCTATATGCTATCTCTAACTCCTTAATACAATATTAATTAGCCATTCTGCAGTAATGCTGCAGAGCTGGGAAACCAGAGGGTGCAGATTCTGTTCCCAGCATACCACCACTGATTTACTGTATAGACTCTAAGAAATCACTTTATCTGCAAATGGAATGATATCTTCCCATGGCTCTAAAGTGGATTAAAATTCAGTAACTTAAACTTTTTCTGTGGTGGTCAGTTATTGACCATTTTGTCTGTTGAGCATCAGAAGTTTATTTCTTGATAATAATCTCATTTCTGATGTTGATACATAATGCTTAGCCCTTGATTATTTTTCTACATGTTTCTATTGCTGACATGTATGTTTTAGCCTGAATGTACAGAAAAGTGTGGTAGCATTTGATTGACTGGATTGGTTGCTTTTCTAGAAGTAAAACTCTGTTACAAAAAAATATTTATTTGTGTGTTTCTTGGCTTTCCCCCCCCCCCCCCCCCTTCCCTTTAATCCAGGTGATTGCTCTTCATATTCTGTTAACTCTTCCTCATTTTTTAGTTTGAAGATCTGAACACTGTGGCTGAGTGTCTATTTTCTTTGGTCAACGGTGATGATATGTTTGCAACGTTTGCTCAAATCCAGCAGAAGAGCATGCTGGTGTGGATGTTCAGCCGGTTGTATCTGTACTCCTTCATCAGTCTGTTTATATACATGATCCTCAGCCTTTTTATTGCACTCATTACTGACTCCTATGACACCATAAAGGTAAAACAGTTGGGTTTTTTGTTACACATCTAATCAGTTTGGTATTCATTCTTGTTAAACACTCAACACCGTAGTACCTAGCATTAGGCATGATGACTAGTAAGACTATTAACATCTTTTAGCTTAATCTCTGGTGAAATTGGGAGGGTGGCTGGGTAGTCATCCAAATGACGAAGCAATGATTGGTTTGGAAAATAATCCTCACTGTGTGTCCTTGTTTGTATTTCCTGCTGCTTCACCTGGTTTCTAAAGCGTGATAGTTAATGGAAGTGAGTGGAAAGAGTAAATTTTTATGTGTAGTTATGCAGAACTGGATAAGGATTATTTGGAGTGAATGTTTCTTCTCATGGCCTCAGAAGCTGAGGTCAGGAAGAGTTTTCTTGCCTCACAGAGAATATGCCCTTGGCCAGGAGTGTGGCAAGGGCCAAGCAGGTAACTCTAAACTCATTTAGGTGTCCAGGCTTGCTTAATGTGCTGCTTGGAAATGTGTGTCTAAATGGAAATACCTTCTGAAAGACCCACTGCTTCTCGATCAAGTTAAAATTGTGCCATCCAGTTCCAGTATAAACTGTCTGAAAGTGAAATGAAGCTTCTAGTAGTTACCTTTTGTTCTCATGCTGTCTCCCCTTTGTGTGCCTGGTAGCTGCAGTAACCAGTGGGAAGGCAATGTGGATCTTTAGTTCTTATCCCTTTCTTATCTTTGTCAGCTAAACAGGCCAGCAGAATAAGGTTAGTCGGACATGAACCACACCTTCCAGACCAAGCAAGAGCTTCACTTCCTAAGCATCTCAAAACACAACTTGGCTGTGCTTCTGAGTTTATTGGGTGGTCAGACTTGCAAATGGTGTTTTACTGTTACTCATCCCTCTGATCACTTCATGTGGATCAGCAGGGAGCCATTTCAGTGTGCTGAACTGGTGTCATGCAGAGCATTTCTTAAGCATGGCAATCCTGACTATCCACATTAGGGCCCTTCAAATCCAGCATTGAGGTTCCTAGGGAAAAACGAGCCCAGGGCACTTGCAATGAGTACAGCAGCTGATGTGAACAAGGGAGAATCATTGCCAGTATGACCTGAGATCACTTGCTTGGTTTCTTATAAACAGCAAACAAAAGGTGAAGGAATCTATGAGCAGTATCAGTTTTATGTCACTTATATTGCCTTGTTCCATCAACTACATACAAGGTGTTTCTAGGATGGGATTTTATTTTGTGTGTGTGTCCTACAGCAATACTGAACAAATTAACCAAATAGACTGGTTTCGACTATCATAGTCTAGAGGACACCTCATGCACAGTAACTTCTCGTGTGTTGTAAATAAAATGCCTTCTCTTCCAGAAATACCAGCAAAATGGGTTCCCAGTAACAGATCTTCATGAATTTCTGCAAGACCATGGCAGTGCTGGTTACAGAAAAGAACAGACTTCCATGCCACTTGTCTGCTGCTGTGGGAGGTCAGTAGGGTGTTCCTAATGAGTGTTTTTGAGAAGTATGCAAGGTAGCTTCTTGCTGCATGGTGCTGTATTGTAAATGCTGGAGCATCCAGGATTTAGCCCAGGGAGTATTTGGACACTTGTTCCTCTTGGGCTTTGCCTGCTGTTCGATCTGTAGTCAGCTGATGGTGCAGGGGTGGCAATTCTGAGCTTAAATGCATGTTTTAAGTGTTCCACTCGTGAAAACTACCATGCAGAAAGTGGTGGAAGTTGACAGGAACTGCCAAGGAGTCGGGAGCAAACTAACTCTCTGCTTAGGGCTTTGCAAATCTGTTTCTAAAAAGCCTTTCAACTAGGCTGAGGATAGTAGCAGAAAGCAAGAGTATGTGTTTCAGCCAGGGAGTAGTACTTGATCCCAAAACTAGGCTGTGTCTGTAAGACAGACTGGTTCAGTGCCATCTGTCAATATTGGAAACACACTTTCATATGGCCGATTGCTGCCAAACTCAAGCCCTTGGAGTTAGTGGTGCTTTTTAAGCTGGTGTTGGTGAGAGATGACCATCTCGCCTAGCGCTTGCTGATCTGGAAGTAGATTGAATTCTGTTTCCGAGGAAACCTGACACACCTCTGAATACCTGATTTGAGAGGGAGAGATCTTGTTGCTGTCCCTAGGTAGTGCAGGAGAATTCATGCTTGAGCACAGAATGGTTGTGGATGCTGTGTAAGGAAACCAGGCTATGGGAGAAAGAATAGAGCTCAATGTGAACACTTACTTGATCAAAACTGGTGTAACAAGTCCTATTTTAGCAGTAGGATACTTGTCTACTTCTATACTGAGGCTTTGTGAAGTGCAACTTTATAATTTTGATGTATTCTGACAGAAGGAAACCTCATAGCTAAAAAGGAGCATGTGAGATGATGGTGGGCAGGTATCCCAGCAGTTGCTGTGGACACTTGAAAGTCAGCTAACCTCAAGAACTCCAGCCAGGTACAGCATCAGGTTTCACATCCAAGTCATTGTGCAGGATAAGAGATTTTTTTGTCTGCTTGAGCATAATAAATATGCTTTACTGTAATACACTGTAGAGAATTGAGAGCGCAAGCCTGGTAGCTGAAGTGAAAATCTAGAGCTCTTGCTACTATAGCAGTTTCTGCTTGGTTGTCCTAATGCAAGTGCTGGAATTGCTTGCTAAAATGGGAGCATGCAGAACAGAAGGATCAAAATTCAACTTGGTTTTGTATGGGTAAATGCTTTTTATTGCATTTCTTGCTGAGTGAGAACTGAAATTTTTTCTTTTGCAGACAACAGAGTGATGAAAACTTGATACTTATTAATTGACGATTACAAGTTGAAACTCACCACTGATATGCAAAGAAAGAATAGCTGTATGGAGAAGAATAATTCTCCAAATTGCAATAAACCTCACCATCTGGACCTGCCTCACTGTGAACAGACTAATCTTACCTAATGAAGGTGCTGGGGGAAGGAAAGCTGCTCATGTGACCTAAGGTGGCTGACCAGGAGGAGAGCCCAGAACCTGTGCCTGGAGGAGAGCTGTGAAGAACTCTGTATTCTTGCCCTACATTCTGCCACATGAAAGAAGGCTGATCCTTGAGCATTGTGTGTGGGAGCCCTGTTTTCTAATTGCCTCTAGGAGGAAGAAAAGTGGCCCTGAATGAACTGTTAAGAGAATTATATGAAAATAATTTTAAAGAAATAATTCCTTGTTTAAAAATATTAAAAGGTAGTCAAGAAGAGAGGAGTTTTCCACTTAGTGATGCATTCAGCCTGTAACTTCTACTTGGCACAATTAATTTCCTTGAAATAAATCTATGTAAAACTACAGAGCTGCACAAAAGTGCAAAATAATTGCTGTTCTCCCTCTTATATATTGTTTTAACACAAGCCATCTATAGATTACGGTCTTTTCTTTAACAGCTTTACTAAAAACAAAAGCAGTTTGTTATCTTTTTGTCTGTGAGTCTTTTCTGTTATATCTGCATATTTGATGCATACTGTGTTCAAATTAAACTTACGACTTCAGCTATAGGTAACTTTTTGCATGGTTGGAAACTTCCTTGGCAAGCATTGTATGAAAGATGATGAAAAGATTGTTGCTTTTTTTTTTTTTTTTAATTTACTTTTTATTAGTATTACAGTATTGTGTGCCAGAACCTGGAGGACAAATTTAGGCAGAAACAATGCCACAGAGTTGACTTGCCTAGTTCTATTTCAAGCACATGTTCATTGGAAGAAAATACGTAACAGCTGAGTCTGGCAGTTGATTTGTTCAGGTGTCTTTGGGATGGTCATTTGTGAAGTACTGTGTTTCCCCCTTTGATCATTACAAACTTCTTTCAATGAAAACAGAGCACTTCCAGTGTAGTACTGCATTAGGTGTTAACCAGATGCTTTGGAAAGCTTTTAGTGGTGCTGACTGCCCCAGGGCTGGATGGACTATGTCATTAGACATTCTACTTTCTCTGAATGGGGCTGTCTGCTCCCTAAAAATGCTTTCTGTAACAGATGATGTTCACTTCAGTCTGAGGGTGTTGGATAGGACTTGGCCTTGATATGTGATCTTAACTGCTAGGGATTGACTTGGCGAATTCTGGCTTCTTAGTATTTCAGATGGCAAAGACAATTTGAAATGCTGTCCTGGTGCGAGTAAGGTGAGTGGCATCTTCTTAATTTCTTTTTTTCCTCCCTTCTGAGAAACTGGAGAGTGTGGAAAAAACAGTTCTGGATTCACACCTTTTCTGGTAGGTCAAAGATCATTTTTTTTAACAGGCCTGTCTTCATTTTCTGCCTCTCCTCTGGGATGTGTAAGGGAGAGGTTTGCAGCTTCTCCAGCAGTATTTCTGGCCATTGGTAGGAGCTGTGGTGACTGAGCTTCTGGAGAGGTGATGATCTTTCCTGCCCGGTATTTGCCTTCCTGACAATGAGTACTTTCGTTGGAAATTAATGCCATTTTGTCTTACTTGGGCTGCTGCTACATGTCTAGCAGAGGTGGTTTTTGTGTCAGTATTACTATACATCCAGGCTTTGCAAATTTTCATGCTTCTCTTGTTGAGATGCCTTTGACATAGAATCTCCTCCCCATTCCCAGCCTGAGCAATGCCTTGCTGTGGCCTGAGCTGTCACTACAGCTTGTGGGTAAAAATTATATTGCTGCCAATAACCAAGACTTTACACTGTTAGGCAAAGATTTTCTGTAACTGTTCATCAAACATGCTAATTGTGTGATCTAGAACAGAGGATTACTGCCTTCCACTCAGGACATGAGTCAGTTTTCCTTCCAGTGTTCACATGTACCACTTGTTGGGGTCAGTGTTAGTCTCTTAGTGTGTGCTCTGGGGTCCTGGATAATCAAAGTGCTCTTTTGCAGCCAGGAGAAGACATTAACTGGTTGCTGGCAAAGTTTCTTGTCCCATGCTGCATACTATCTTGATTTTGTTATGTGCAAGATGCTGGTGTTTTCTGCTTTATGAACAGTGTGTCAGGCTCACTGCCTTCTGAGGTCTAGTGCTCTGTCTTTCCTAAAGCAAGTGAGGTATGTCCTGGACCCTTGGTACTGTGAGCCACAGTGAAGGAGCCCCTAAGCTCTGACTCACACTGCTTCTTTCCAATTCCATGTCCAATTAGGACACAGAGTGTGACCTGCCAAAGCCATTGCTCAGATACATACTTTGAGAGAATCCTCACGGAATGAGGCAAAGTATTACCAACCAAAAGCATGTAGAAAATACTTACAATTCTGACTGATTTTAAGACTTAATTTCTATAATGGCATCACAAAGCCTTCTTGACCATTAATGATTTTAAAATTATTTTTTTATTATATGAGCTGCTTGCTATCTCGACTCCTGCTTCAGCCCTACTGTATTAGACCAGGTCACTAATGTGTTGTAGAAACCAATTTGTGTCTTCACCATCTTTGTAGTGGGGTTTTTTTCTCTTGGAAAAAAGTAAGAGCTATTTGCTGGAACTTCTTATTGGCTCTCTATTCCATAGAGGTTAAACTTAACAGGAAATCTGACATATGTTGACTCTTAATTCTGTGCATTAATACAGACTTGAATACAATAGGTTCCACTCCAGCTGCTAAGGATGTAATGCACAGTAATGGAAGCGGAACTGGAGCATAAGGTTTTGCAAAGTGTTCTGAAAGATAAGCTGTTTGGTTGTCTTGTTCCCTGGGAATAAGAAGCTTTTGCTAATTGCTTATAGAAGTTAACAAAGGAGGAGAGAAGTGGATGGAAAGGCAGTGACAAGATTGCATTAGAAAGGAACAGGCAGGAAGGAGGAGAAAGCTTCCTGAGCCATCTTCAAGGTGAGCGTTCAAGGGAGAGGACAGGGTGGGTAAGAGTTTGGGCTCTTTTTTTGGGGACTTACAAAAAGCTGCTGGCATGGAGGCTGTTTGGCATTTCATGTATAATGATCATGTGCAAGGCTTCACCTAGTCTTTAACGCCCTGTCTCTGTTTTATGCTGTAGTCATTACCAGGATTTCTGAGAAGTGGAGCAGAGATTTTCTGCTGGAATTTTCTTTTGCCAGTTCTCCAGCTCTTAGCAGACCTGTGAGTAGCTCTGTACTCATTGGATATACGCCTGGTCTCAGTAAATGGTTCATGCAGGTAGCAATGGGTCAGATCCATCTGATCATGATCTTCAGATAAATTTGATCTTGTACTTTCTCCTGCATTTGAGTTCAGCTTGTCTTTTGCAGCAGAGCTGTGTGTGCTCCATCCTGCCCTTTGGAGATGATACAAGCCTCGGTGTTTCTGGATCAGTGTTGGGTGTTGAGGTGGTTCTTGTTTGCTTTTACACTATGAAAGAACAGCTACATGTGGTGCTGGAAGGAAGTGGCACATATACCTCTGTGCTGTCCTGATCTACTCATGGAAGTTATTGCTGGTTTATTTGGGTTTTGTTTACCAAAACGTGGATCATGGGCGTTCTGACAGGCTTTTTAGGCAGCACAGCTCTTCAGACTCGCACAGCTCTGGGTGCTGCACGGTCCTGTATTACAGTCTGTGCCTTGTCTACGCCCGCATCGGAAGA